CCGCACCCCCTGTAACAGCCTCATCTTCTGATGGCTAAGATGACAAAGCCGTAAGCGTGCCACAGACCTTCGTGTAGAAAGCTCCTCAACTGCATCGTTGACCTGTGCGTAAGAGGCAAGAGCGGTGTTTTGCGGGTCTCCTTAACCGTTTCTTCCACATTTTCCTGATTCAGCTGTAAAAATAAAGCCCGCTTGCATGCCTCTGTGCGACCAACAGCACCGAGCGTCAGGCTGGATTAACACCCAGAGTCCCGACAGAAGCCAGCCCGCTGCTACAGCACTGGTTAAAAACCGAGTTCACCGCTGGTTTAATCCCTGCAGGCTAAAAGCCGCGGGCGCGTGACCGAACTGAAGGAAGCCCCCAGCCGACGCCAGCATTCCTGGGGGAAGCAAAGTCCGTTTTCTCCAAAAGTCCCCCTTTGAAACCTGCACTTTGCTCAGCTGAAGAGGAGAGAAAGGAGCGGGTGGGCAGGGAGAGAGAAAAGAGATTATCCCCAGGCGTTTCCCACGCTGCCTGGGCTTGGGGCACGGCCGGTCGTGCAGAGAGGTAAGAGGGGAGAGGCGGGTGCTCAGTCCTTCCTAATGAAGGCCAAGGGAGGCAAAACAGGAGGGCGGCATTCTTGGCTGGCAAGCGTGCTTTCCAAAGACCTGCACACGCTGTTAGCTGCCCCCGAGAGCTCCGACCAACCCAGAAAGCAAAGAGAGTCTGTTTTGACTGTAACCTGTCACCCACGCCCTCGGGAAATGGGAGGACAGGACAGCGAGCAAAGGTCTCCAAATATCATGACTTTCCAGGCACCGACCTGCACTCGTGAGAAGTCTTTGGTGGTTTTTTTTTTTTTAAGGCAGGCTTTGGATATCAGCTGGATATTTCACTCTCTGGCAGCAACACAAAGAATGGGGCAAAGCTACTGTCTCGTGACGGTCGGAATAACCGGATTCTCCTAATTCAAGAATCTCTCCCCAAACCACATCCTCCTCGCCTGCAAGTCGGAATGACACAACAGCACTGCAAAAGCGGTCTAGAAATTGCCAGTCGTCTGCTGGCTGGGAGGAGTGAGCGCAGTTACTGAGTGTGCGGTGGCACGGCCCCGGCGTCTCTGTTCAAAAATTCAGTGTTTTCATTCATTGCAGTCAAAGTACCCTGAGAAATCGGTCGGAGGTCTCATCCTTCCGCTCTCCGCCACGACAACGGCGTAAAAGGCTGAAAAAGCAGCAGCCCCGGCTCTGCAGCATCCCATTACCTGGAAGAGGCACGGCTCCCTGTTTGAGTCTCTACAGATAACGGCGCTTCTGCTTTATCGTAAAATAACTGGGAGAATGCAGGATTCTCCCGCGGGAGCTGTTTATTCCTAAGTAACGGGGAAACGCACACCGACAGAACGGTGGGACCGTGCTGACAATTTCCATTCAAAGACGGCTCTGCTAATTACAACGAATTTTGTACTAGGAACAAGTCCTGGAAACATCTGTCTGATTTGTTGGGAAAAAGCTCACCCGTGTGTGTGTCTCTCCCCTCTTCCTACGCTCCTGACAAGAAACCTGTATTTTGCCAGAGCAATGCCAGCAGCAGCAGGTACAAGGGTGCCATTATAACATAGGGCAATACGGTAGCAGCTCAATATGTAATTAAATGTTTCAATCCCCCGATTAATAAAGAAAAAAGAGATTTTGGCTACAGGAAGAGTGCGTTTCCCCCTCCTCTTTAATAATTTAACGTGAATGCTTATTTCCCGCCGCTTGCTCGGGAACGGCAGACTCCCTCTTCCAAAACCCCAGGAGTTAACGCAGAGCAGCTTGCAATGGGAAAGGGCTCCAGAACAGATTCTCCGCCCCGAAGAACAAGGCTCAAAAGAAACCTCCCAGCATCAGTAACGAACACCGATGTTTCCTCACGACCTGCCTTCCCAGCCTCTCCCCAACACGCTTCTCTGCGCGCCTGCTCCAAGCCTAGCTGTGCTCAGAGACACCAAACTCACCCGTTTTTCTGCTAAAGCATATGAAATTCCTGTCCCGGCAGCTCCCAAGTGCTCCGCTGTCTTCACAGGAGACCCACGATGAGCTCGCGAGCCCGCGCGCCGTTCTGCCTGTCCGGGAGCTTCATCAAGCTGCAGAAATTCCTGCGTTACTTGCCCGCAGATTTTTTTTTTTTTTTTCCCCCCTGCTTCCCTTTCTTCATACTGAAGCCAGGAGGAACCTTAAGGCGTAACACCGGAGCGAAATAAAACCACAGAGGGAGCTTTTTCATTCTAACATAGAACAAATGCTTTTATTGCACTTTTAGAAAAATCTGCATAGTCCTAACAAATGGGATCCCCCCTCCACTTACTCAAAACATTTGGTTTAAAACAACTGCCGCAGCTCAAACGCAAGTACTGGCTGCCCGCAAAAGGAAATGCAAACGGGGCACAGTTTTTACAGAAAGTCAATTAAAAAAAAAAAACCACCACCACCAAAAACGGAGCCGATTCTAGCCCTCGCAGTTGTCATCGACACTAATCCGGCACTGAAAACCCACCAGGGGCGAGAAGGAAGTCTGCCTTCCGACCCGAGAGGGGGGTATCCTTCGGGGTGGTGTGATCTCCCTTAACCAGTAAGCTATCGCTCCAGCCCAATTGTGCGGGAGACAATCTTTACAGTCCCATCCTGTCTCTTGTCACTGCCCCTCTTTGCTTGCGCCTTTCTCAGAGGAAGACTTCTGCATATTTTCTTTTGCCAGTTAAAATACAAAAGGCAAATGCCTGCTTGACTTGACCAAAATATGCAGCTGCACGCATGACTGCCCGCACGATAGAGAGCGTGAGCCACCGTTCCTCTCCGCTTCCTCATGACACAACTCGGACTCCTGCTAGCAGGAGCTTGGCAAGATCCGAATGATTAATCTCTGGTCGCTAATCGGTCAGGAAGGTGTAAGTGCGTCTGACAGATCAACGACAGCTCGTAGCCCGGCTCGCCGGAGGAGCCAGGCTCTTGCTCTGCTGCCGTCACAGGCCCAGGGATCTGTGTCTAGGAAGTTGCCAAAACAGAAGAACCTCCCGGGACGGCCTGGGGACCCCACGGCAGACGGCGCTGCCAGGGACCTGGCGTGTCACGCTAGCACAGTGGTTCAGGTCCTTCGCGTTACCGCTTAATGTTTTATCTCAAAAGTGCAATACTGCTTTTTATTCGTTCGTATTTACAAAGAACACGGCTCTGAATCCGAATCACCCCTTCTCCTCCCTCTCCCTTTCAAACATTGCCCGACGGGAGGACGCCGGGCAGGCAGGCGGTCTGCAGCGTGGGTACCACGCCACGGCGGGGAGCCCGCAGTCTATTTCACAGTCACGGTCGAGGCCCCGTGAATGGACTCCATCACGGCTGCAAACCGGCTGCAGAGGTCGTAGGGGGAGTTGGGCCGGATCTTCGGGGGCTCTTTCAGAAAAACGACCTCGGTGGAGCAGTCGAGGAGCCGGGGGAGTAATTCGCCCAGCTTCATCTGCAGTTTCGCTGTCAAGGGGGAGAGGATGAAACAGTCAGTGGCACTGCACCAGGAAAAGACCAGATGGCAGAGGGCTCCAGGGCCGCGAGCTAAAAAGCTCTGACGTCTTTTAGAGAATCATCTTCCAGCGCTGACACCCGCCCATCTCCTGCAGGCAGGGATGAGCAGCGTCTGCTGACGCAGAGGCGGCGTCGCACCAGCTGCCGGCCTGGGTCTCATTCAGTCCTCAAGTCCTGCCCACCTACCCAGGGCTCCGTAAAGAGGGAAGCTCCACTGCCACCTGCCTGCCCTGGGGACAGTGCCACATCCCACCAGGGTATCGCGTTTTCCCAGTAAAGGCGCTGTACTGGCTGGCAAGTCAGAAGTAACGATGTGTTTCAAGGTGACACTCAAATACTGACTTTGCATTTGAAGGAAACGGAGCGCGCGTTATGGCCTGTAACACCTCAGGCCTCGGCAGGTCGGCCCGAACTGAGCAGGCATCATCCGGTCCTGGTAAAGAACTGTCCCCCCAGGAGCGGACCACACAAATGCCACCGGACCCCGCGTTAAAGGACAGGCACCTTCGGAAGAAGAAAAGCAGGCGGAAAGGGCTGATGCTTGAGCTACCTCACATGATCCGGGAGGTGCAAGCAGCCTACTTCTGTTTCTTTAAAATCTTCCGTGTAAGTAAATGCCATTGTGGCAAGCCCAGGAATGGGAAACTTGCGTATTTGCATAAATTTATCCAACTTTTATTCTTTACAACAGTATTTTGAGAATAAACCTCTGTGTTTTTGCCTTATTTTCATATGGCAAGTTTACCCTCTGCTAATGACAAAAACCCCGTAATGACTCCCCAAACATTCGCACGCAGATCAAGGGGGTCGAAGCCCATTTCTCCTAATAAAAACGACCTGAGGAGAGTTGTGGGAGCCCGACTGCAGACCACAGAAGGAAATGCAGAACAACAGCAGCTATCCAGAACCAAAACGCAGCCACAAAACGACAAACCTCTCTTCAGAGTGCAAAGATCCCCTGAATCTGCTCCCCCATCCAGTATTCTGCAACTCTGGCCACGGTTTCTGGCCGCTGATAAAACCTGTTCCTCCCTCCTGAAGAGGAGGGTGCCTCTGCAACTAAGCCTGCCAGCATTCACCTGCCATCTACTCCGTTCAGTAAGACAAACCAAAACCAAAACAATTCCAAGATAACGCTAAGCCATTCTTTTGAAATTAGCTTTTCACATTTCAGGAAAGAGGAATCCTTCTTCTGCAGCTTTAATGCAAAAGAACATTAAATTCTTCTATAACGTAATTCAACGGATAATTCAAATACATTTCTCCTCTCACACGAAGCACCCCAATGTGCTAGAGTGCAAACGCCAGGAATTTCAGGAAGTGTTTTAAACGGTCCTTTAATTCCTTTCCAGCTCAGATCTAGACACTGCCCTGCCCACAAACAGCATGACAAAGGTAAGGAAGGCAGCCGTTCCCTACCGTCCATGTCTTCTCGTCCCAGATAGGAGCACCAGCGGTTTCTCATGACCTCGATGGCATCCAGGTCCTCTTTGGAGATCTCGAAGTTGTTCATGAGGTGCATGCAGGGGATGATCAGCTCGTTCAGGATGCTAATGCCCTCTGTCACACGAGCTTCTTCACAACTCACGAACAGAGATGCTGCCACCTCGTTCAGCTTCTAGGGGAGGAGTGAGAATCAGGGGACAGGCTTTTAAAAAGCCAGCACGGACCTCAGATAATCAGCATGCTGTCAGGAAAGGCACACAGCTCGGGCCCCTTCACCGACGGCCATGCAGAGACGCAAAGACTAACAGAACCAGGCGCCAGGTTCCAGTGGAACAGCCACCTTGAATCACAGGAATCACACCACAGAAAACAAACTGATAAATACCTATATTTATATACATATATATATAATTTACCATAGATATGTACAGAGTACATATAGCTTATTTATAATTCTGGTTTTAAGATGCCAAGATCCAGATCTGCCTTTACCCAGATTCCCTAAGAGCCATATGGCACGTTCTTTCATTGAATTATTATTTCCTAGATTTCCGTACTACTGCTGGTACTCGGGAAGGGGCAGAAGCCACGGTAATAGGCACAAGAGAGACAGTTACTTGTCTTGGCAACCACGGAGCGCGAACTAAAACCAAACCTCATTTTCATGCTGTTTTTTCGCTCCCTGTGGAAAAGGACATAATCTTTTGCTCAGAGAGAGAAAACCATTGATATTAGAAATAAATACTGGGGGGGAAAGGAAGCGAATGGGCAGAAAACTATGCAACCACTGAGTTAACAATGCAAGCACTGAGTTAAAACCCAAGAGCATGTTCAGCAGCATCCGAACCTTCCCTGAAAATGCAGCACGTTCGCTAAGTGTGCTCCTAGAAGGGGACATGGTATGGTGTGACTCCCTGGGCGATGCACACCGAGCAGCCGGTAAGCGAACTGCACCACGGGAGCCGGTGTCACCCAGGCTGCTCCCTCCCCTCCTCTCTCAGAACAAGTGTAGAGCTCCTGAATACAAACCAGGAGACACTTCCTTCTGTACAAGGCAATCAGCGATTCGTTCACTCCTCTGTTGGTTCCTTTCATCAGCAGCTTGGTGTTGCTTTGGTAGGCGTAGACCAGGTAGGTGAGCGACTCCTGGTACCTAGGAGAAGAGTGTCAGCTCTCCAGCCCACAGGCTCTGCCAGGGTCACAACTGCAGCGCAGTCAGTCCTGTCAGCTCAGGAAATATTTTCCACTTGGCCTGAATGGTAACTAGCACCAGGCCCGACAGGAAAAACTTTATTTCCTTGCCAAAGCATAAGTGAACAGATGCCCTATGTCAAGTAATTAATGTTCCTTTTTGCCCAGTGTGCCAAACTTAGGAAGAGCCCTTTAAAGCCAAGTTTGTGTGCAACTTAGCCTGAGTGTGAATGCCAGCCTTGACCTTTTTTTAAATTGCTCCCAGAACTTTGCACTTTGGGAGAGCGCTCAAAGAAGTGCAGACTGCAATGTTTTCAGTTCCTTTACATATTTCTAGCTTAAAAAGCCCCTGGTGAGAATACCGAAGAGCTGACAGAGATCAGGTCATTTCAGGGAAGCTCTAACGTGCTCTTGCCCAGGCTCTTGTAAATTTGCCCACCTGAATCTGGTGGTTCATCGCTGCTAACCACCTCAGTATTCAATTCTGTTTCCATCCATGAATAATTTCTGAAAGCCAGTTTATTTTCCGGATGGGAAAAATCACTTTTCAAATTACAAACCTTTCATAAAAAGGCACTGTCCTTCTCCACACTGCACTATTTATGTAAAATACAGGTTCTAAAACAGCAGGGAGAAAAAAAGGCCCTTTTGAAATTCTTAAGAGTCTAGAGAACTCCAAAGCGCGTGTTTACACAAAGTACAATGTCCTATTCAAGACAGTTTAATTTTAATACAGGAGTCCAAAGGGGAAAAAAAAGAAAAGTGATGGCAATCATTCCTGCAAACCCATCTCTGGAAATGAAAATATAAAGCTCTAAGAAACTAGCTAGTACCTCATCATAATATTTAAACTGTTAACCAAGGGTGGCTGTGGATTGAAGAAAGGACTATGTATTAGCAAGTCAAAAAGAAAGCCCATTGGCCTCAAATACTTTGAACTCAAACTGGCCATCATGGGTCAGAAAGAAGTAGTTCTGTCACAGCGGCCTCTATTTCTAGGCTATAGCTTATCCTATCCAAACACACAATTAAAAGCAACTTACTTTCTATTCTGGTACAGCTCCAACCCTGTCAGCAGGTAAACTGACACCTTGCGAAAAAGACTGTAGTCTTCGTGCCATCTCTGTTGAGGAGCAGCAAGAAAGGAGAGTGTCAGCTTCACCCGTAACGCGCAGGCGTGCGTTTTACATTCCTTCACAACTCAAAAGCGTATCAGATTTTACCCTTTGAAGGGTTTAAACATCTCTCATAAGCGACACATAAATCAATTCAGTCAACTGCACAGACATTCCTCAAAGCTCAGGAGATTTCCAGTGTATTCTTTTTCCCCTTCAGCATCCTTCTGCAGACACATGCTTCAGACAGCAAGGAAGCCGCCGACAGGCGTGCCAGCGACTGCTGCATTTGCTGCTGCCGCTCCACGATGCGCTCCCTGCTTCCCACGCGCTGCTTTGGACAGCACTGGTTCTGACAGCGCGAAGGATCAAAGGTGGCACTCTGGTCCCTTACCTTGTACTCCTCCATATCGACGTCGTCAGGACCAATTTCCCTCAGCTTTGCTCGTGCTACCTTCATAATGCTAATTGACCTGCTCCGTGTAAGCAGAGATGGAGAAAATCAGAACAATGGCCCCGGCTGCTTCCAGATGAGAAGCAGCCTCATCTCAGAATCCACGGCACAAACCTTTCATCGTAGCTGAGGTTTTTGTCCGCAAACTGCTCAAGAAGGGTCCGTTCCACTACCTGCTGGGGAGCGTTGTTTTGCAGGAAGTAAATGAGCACGTGTTGCAACCGGGCGTCGTTCTGAGGGGTCGGGGTCTCTTTGGCAAGCAGGTAGAGACGGGAGTACTCCTCGTGGAACGCCTGCCAACAAAACACACGTACTAACACGTCCACCCTTCGGCCCGTGGGAATGCCCCAGCAGCTCATACGAAGCTTAAACCTGTCCTGTAACGAAGGGATTCCCACGGGCGATACCTAGCCTCCGCTGCTTGGTTATATTCTAGTGGCGAATGGAAGCCTACGAACACCTGGAACTATAAACAAAAGGCATCCACACCAAGGCAAACCACATGCATGAAGCGTGCGCTTTTCAAACTAACTGCCTTTCAGAGAGCGGGGCATATAGCTGCCTTGGACAGTTTTGGTAATCCTCTTGCAAGTGCTGAGGTTGTAAAAATCGACTGTAATACGCTTACATCTGTAGTAAGGTGCAAGAGTATCTTGTGATTTATATTCCTGTAGACTAATAACACGGGTGATTTCTCCACACGGCATTTTCAGTTAAATCTACCTGCCTGTAAAATCTAACACCAGCTTCAATATTGAGCAGTGCTTATTCTTTCCAATCCCCCCGTTCAACACATACATTTCTTGAGGACACATTTTACAAGAGAGGTCACAGTAAGCGTGTGTGTTCAGGACCAAAAAAAAAAAAGTCACGAGTGCTGGTTTGTTTTCTGACGACCACACTGAGGACCTTGACAGCAGGTTCTGAAAGGCACGCGAAGAAAGTCTACTTTCTATAATCCAGATCAAGAGAATTACCAGTAATAAAAGAATAAATAGTGGAAAGTAAAAAAAAAGTTGTTGCTTCTCCTAGGAGCAGGGAGTTCTTACAAGCTCTTAAAATTGTTTAGAACTGAAGGATATGTTGTCACAATAAGAGAGCAGAAACAGAAATGCAGGACAGAAAGGCCATTAACTAAAAGAAAAACCGCACAAATCACTCCCTTCACATTCTTGATATGTCAATATAGCATAGATTCTTCATTCCGTGAAAACAGATATCCATACCATTGGATTTAGCAAACAAATAAGATACCTTAACAAGCCCTGCTTCAGACCCATCTCGATCAAAGGTCTGGCGGGCTTTTGCAATAGCCAGGATGACACCTTGCATGGCTGGACTCAGCATCACCTACCATGAAAGCAGGAAAACAAAGAGGAACAAGGAAAATGGTAACAGACAGGGGAAGAAGAGAAGGCATGGTGAAGAAAGGAATAAATTTTCAAAAGATAAGGTTTAAAGGAAATCGTATTAATACAGGTGGAATAAGCCACAGCTGTGATTTACTTGTATACTACTTACTCCATCTGTCACATGCACTTTACATGCAGGGCTTTTTTTAAGCACTTAAAGGTCTAAAGGCTGGTCACTCCAAGCCCTGAATTTGTAAATTCAACAAGTAAGAACGTAAAGCACACTAGCCGTATCCCCTCTGTGTCCCATCCAATCTTCTGAAGCAATACATATAGGAGAGTGGTGCCTCACAGCAGAGCATTTCCTTGTGCCAACTTCATACAAGCATATATTAAACATACTCAAGGAGTAACGGTCTCAGTATTTCTGTGAAATCCAATTGCACTTCTGAAAAAGACTGAACTTCCAAAACACTGCTTGAGTATGTAGGAGTGTGGTTAAATAGTCAGATTCAAAAAATCAGTAGCTAGGGTACTGTAAGTTATGCTATTAGCGGTTAATGTTCTCTGAGAGAGGGGACGAAACTAATTGAAGACAGTAAAGAGGCTTGTAAATAAATGAAAACCACTAGGATCAATTTTGATATAGTTGTGCCAGAAAGGAACAACGTGCAGATCTAATGATTGAGTGCTTTTACAGAGCTGCTTTTCTGATGGCATTTAGAAACGAAATTACTGAACGATTTGGTCTGGCCTTCTTCATTTCCACAGTGGGAAAATGTACTTTGGAAACAGCATTGTTTCCATGACAGACTACTATCGTACCCCATCTTAGGAAAGCCCAAAGCCAGCTAACTACAAAGTTATAGGTTAATGACCGGCGGTAATTCACCCCTGCACTGGGATCTGTACCTCCTCGTTATATCCGTCTGCATCGGATCTAACGGGAATCTTCCCCACACTGGGGATTTCCACTTCAGAGACCTGTGAGCTAGTTTGGGCAGCAGACTCTGCTTCCTTAGCGTCCTGCGGTTGTTCTGCCTGAACTGTAAGGGCTGTTTCTCCCAGCTGGGCCTTCATTGGTTCTACCTCCTTGGGCTGTGGCCAAGAAGAAGAAAAAGAGTAAGAAAAACCAAAGCAAAACACAGGAAAGCAAAAGGGGACCGAGGTAAAAGCGGCACAGCTACAGAATTACACAGAAATGGAAAAAGCAAAGGTCTGTCAAGAAGACTAATACGAAGACAAGAACGGATTGCTTCCTGGGCCAGGGCTCAGCTCCTACCTCGCAGAGAGCTGCCTCAACGCCGTTCTTTTCATAGGCGTCGGCAGTGTTTGCAATGGCCTTGGCAGTCTGCTCCTTGGCAATCATGGCGTGTTCAGAGGACAGAGAGCGCACGCTCTGCTCACAGACTGAAGACTGATCTGTCAGGACAGAGGTGTGGTACCTGTGAGCACGAACTGCAAGACGACTCCTCCTCCCTTGTTCTAAAATGTTTTGTAGCTTGTCTATGCAGGATTAAACAGCTGCTGCTTTCATCCCAGAGGTGAAGGCGTTTCACCGTAGCTTGTGCATACCCCTTTTCAGTGGGTATGGCACACGCCATCAGGGATTGCCAAGTAATGCTTTCCCACTCCAGAGGACAGCACTTGAACGTTTCCTACTCGATATTTATTAAAAAAAGCAAAAGTCTAGAAGCGAAATGAGATTAGCCCATTATGATTAAATGAACGGAAAACAGCATTTCTGGTGACAAGCCTGGAAGGATGCACATGCAAAAATAGTAGAATCACCTTTCGTATTGTACAGAGGATAGAGCCTCCACCAGCTGCCCTTGCTACTTCATCAGCAGTTTCTCCTAGATATCTAGAAATTTATGCAAGGCTCCAACACAGCGGTATTTCTGACCAGCTGGTTGTTACCCGTTTCAACGCGGTTTGCAAATTCAGACGTGGTATTACCTGGTCCTGATTCAGAAGAGAGGTCCTGTGATTCAGAAGCAGGTGAAGGCTCCATCTGAGGAATCTTGCAAGATTGCTCCTCCTCCCACTCCTCTGCCTCCTGCTCGAGTCGCCAGTTGTCCTCCTGGATGTAGTGTCTCAGCTCCGGGGGCAAG